AAATTGAGCTGCCCTGTTAATTTTCGTCGAATTCTGAGATAGTCAGATTTTACACGTTTTACGAAAATAACTGGGTGACGAATGATCTCACGAACGTCCCCAACAATAAGTTTTATAAAATTTCCTTAAAATTGGATTCAAATTCAAATAAAATTAATTTGAACTTAAACCGGGATGTAATGAATCGTTTCGAGACGAAAAACGGACCCGAACAAGTGGAGGGCGTGTGGCTTGATGTGAGCCAAGTCTTTAAAATTATAAATAGGGTTAAAAATCAGATATTTCAGCAAAAATATCTCTGCAATTCAGCCCTTAAACGTGTGGGAGAAAGAGAGAGAGAAAAGAGAGAAAATAAATTTTCTCTCGTCAATTCTCGGAGTTCCGTCGATTAGAATCGGTCGAGCCAAGAGTTAAAGTCAATAACATCGACAAGGGCTATGCAATCACACAAAGAACGAAGGATTTCACCAAAGAGTCAAAGGGGAGATTTTGGGGAAATCAAGTTTTGGAGGTTTTGGTTGGCGCTTTTGAAGTTCTAGCCTTCGATTTACGCTTCACGAGGTAGGGTTCCCTCCTACTCCAGTTCATTTCTAGTCTATAGTGTTCATAAGAGGCTGTTATGTGGATTATTTTATGAGCTATTTTGTGGACTATTTTGGGACTGTTTTATGGGCTGTTTTGTGGACTATTTTGGGACTGTTTTATGAACTGTTATGCGGCCTGTTTTGGGGCTGTTATATGGCCTGTTTTGGGGCTATTATGTGGGCTATTTTGGGGCTGTGTATGTGGGCATGTTATGTTTCTATATAAATTATGCCTTGTATGGAAATTTGATAAATGCCTTGAATGATTCAAGTGCCATTTTGATGAAATTGAAATAACATGTTTGGATGTTATGGTGTGTTGAAATCATATGCTTATGAGATGATTTACATTAAAAATGTAGGTGTTGACATGTGATAGAAATAATCCATATGGCATTCATTACACATGGATATGTCATGGCTATTAAAATTGCTCATTTGGCATCCTTGCATTTTGGGCATGAGGTTGGTATCACATTCATGGGTTTAGGCATGAGTGTGAGTGTGTATGCATGGTTTAATCAAACACCACTCTTGGTGCTTGATACGTGGACTTGAAAATGTGGGATTAAAGATCCAAAGGGAGTCACATGGTTGCATAAGAAAAACTTGTGTAGGGTATAGCAAGAAGGGCTAGACACTCACTCGGGTGAAAATCCCGGCTACTTGGTTCATACACTTCCCTGTGGTGAAATTCAAAAAAAGTGTAATGGCGTACGGAGCTAGTCGGTGTGATTTCAGAATCCGATACCCAACAAAGACGCATGATTTTGTAATATAAAGTATTCATTCGAAGGGAAACATCCAAAAAATGAGTTGGTTTTATAAACACATAGTTTGTATGTCAAAAATGATCATTGGATGTATTCCATTAATGATAAAGGTTTTTACACTTGCATTGCATAGTGTGATGGGAGTTGGTGAGGGCTCAAGTGGATGTGCGTGAGTGAGTCTCATCTCATTCCATAGCATGACATGATAAAATTCCAACATAAAATTTTATACTTTGTTTGGAATGTTGTTTGATATGAATGTTAAATGTAAACATTGCATATGCACTTAGGTGAGGAGTAGCCTCCGTAGGAATAACTCTACTGGGCGTTAGCTCACCCTATACGACAAATATTTCAGGTGTGGGATACACACCAGTGGAAGGCTCCCAATCCGATCCCTATGGATGAAGAAAGCCGGAATGTGGCTTTTGTTTTGAAGTTTTGTAAAAAAAAAATTTTTGGACATGTAATTATATGAAATTACTTGAAATGGAACTTGTATATATAGAGTTTTATTGTGAAAAAATATGTTTTTGTAAAACATTCACTAAGTTAGTTTTTGGACTATTTTAATGAAATCTTGCATGCTATTATATGTTTACTCGTAAATGGACCCGGTGCGGTCATTGTTTTATATTGGGCCTCAGATGGGTCATGTGAATGTATATTGCACAGGTTGGATTTTGGGTAGAGCTCCCCGTACAAAGGAGACTTTGTCCGAATTTCGTTAAAATTATGGACCCCGCTAAATGGGGCATAACAGCGTGATATCGAGTTAATCGGTATCCACAGATATTCTGCGGGTTGATGGGTAATCAACGGACCCTCGAATTTTGGGGCGTCACAATATATCAATGTACGTGTGATGATCAATACTCCAATCCCTCCTTGATCTACCATGACGATTCATACCATGTAATATCCTATTAGTATCATAAGCCTTTGGGATTTTTTGCACGGAACCAAACTATCGTTTGACATAATCAGGAAAATCCCACTCAACTACATTGAAACAAATAAGTGAAGACCGTGCATGCCAAACGTCCTATCCAACGAGCCAGTAAGTAGGAAGGCAACTTAAGATAGCAATAGTGTATAACTCCCATATCATCTACAACACAAGAGTCATAGCACAATTTTTTAAAAAGGCAAATACTATTTATAAAAAATTGAGCAAAGTTTTCCCTAAAAATAGGAACTTTCCAAATTTAAAACCTATATACAACTGTCCAACTTATATGCAGGGGCATAGCCACATGGGGACCAGGGTGGGCACTAGCCCCTTACTTTTAGACCACTTTCGATGAGGACCTATAAAATTATTTGATACACTATATTTGCCCCCCCTAAATTTTTGAAAATTTTAATAATGGTGTTAGTTTTTTTTCCCTCAAAAAATTAGTGGTCCACTGACCCTATAAAAATATATGTTTTATTTTTGGATTGAGTAAATCAGATATAACTATCTTGATCTATTTATATATTAATCAAAAGACAATATTTATTTTTATCTAACATAGTGTTCGATATTTTTTAAGAACAATTTCTAGTTTTAATATACTATTTTTTTTAATAATGGTAGTCTATAACCCAATAAAATACGATTGTTTATAAAATGGTAATTAAAAAATATTTCAAGGTATTTCGAATAGAGATCAATAATGATCTCAACTAAATTTTGTAACTAAATGACAAATGATTTTACTACAAATTTGTGATTGTGCACATTGATAGAAAATTAGTAAAAATTTAATTTACATTTAATTAATATACAAGATTTTAGAAAGTTTAGAGAATGTTATATTTTATTGAAATAACAATTGGGTTAAAATATACTAAAAATATTATTTTGTATTTTTTCATTTAGATTTTATTTTGGCTAAATAAAAATTGAATTTACCATTTCACAATAATTTTGTCGTAAGTCTTAATTTTTTTCATTCTTGAGCTTAATTTTTTGTATCAACTAGTGAATTATTTTTCACTTATATTTTGCCCCCTCATAGATTTTACTGGCTCTGCCCCTGCTTATATGAAATAACGACATGCAATCTACGCACAACAAACAATTCAGAAGTTTTTTTAAAACATTTGGGCAGATTTCCCTCTAAAAAGATGACAATGCCAAATTTTAAACCCGTACAAAACACATCCAATATCCATAATCACAATATGTAGTCATCACAACAAAACACAATCATCCCACCAACCATCCACAAATGGTTTTACATAACTAGCATTCATTCAACAAAAGGTTTTACATAACCAACATCCATTAATCAACAAAGTTTGAAACTATGGACAATGAAGTAAGTTGATATACCTGATCGTTCTCTCAAATGGTCTAGTTGATTCCTATAATGTTGTAATACGTGGGTTGGAGTGTATTGTTCCGAAAATGTGATATCCCATCTATATGGATGCCAAAATAGTAAGACAACCATATCTCACATTACGCAAATACATATGATGATTATTTAACAATCATACAAAGTCACCCGGCTACACCCAAGCAGACCATCATGTAGCGCATCCTCATTTTGTGGGACATCATATCCATGAACATCTACACGTGTTACAACCACATCATCTCCAAGTACATCACCGACCTCATGTGCTGGCAGAACTTCCTTATCGCCATGAAATTGAGGTAGACCATGGGCTACTCGCTATCGTGGGACCAATCAATTTAGAACAATATGTGATAATTGTTCTTTTGCACACAACTACATAAATCATAAAATTGTAGTAAATTTGAAACACTTACATACACACCAAAGTAGTTAATAGTATACTGCAACAAAAGACATTACCTATATCAAAATAAGTGGACCACTAATGTCCTAGGCATCACGCTGAATAGCAAGGCATATCTCATGGTACAACCATGCGAAGGCTGCACTCTGCCAACTAAACCTCCCTGCCATATCAAGATCTGCAACTAGAAATAAGAACATCAACTTAACCTTGTTGGAAAACTTATCTCCAAACAAATTCTCTCCTGTCAACAACAGCATACGTAACAGACGAAAAATTGATCAGCCATATCAGGGGGAATTGCATGCCCCAAATGATCGGACAATACACTAAGCCTAAGTGTGGAGTCATGTATGGATCCTTCCCTCAGTGTGAAGCCGAGCAAATCAGTGCACATTGCACTCCACTGCTATACATCATGAGTTGTCTTTTTTTTTTTTTTTTTTTCCAAAATTCAAATAGGTGTCAATTTAATAGCTTCGTTCCTATATTTTGGTTGGTCATAACTTAATGGCCAACGCAATATTATAGTCATAGAACTCTTATTATTTGCCATAAAGTATTATTTATATTCATTTTTTTTTCCTTACCTATATTATTTTTTGTGTGTTACCCTCTGTATCCAATATCTCTTATGATATTTTGTGGCATCATCTCTATTTTTCAAAGGATTTGTATTTTAATATTAGAGTATTTCATCAAAAAATTATGCAAAATTTATGAATTAAAACTACATTTCAAAATAAAATAAAGGACACATTGCTTAGTGGCCAATGCTTGAAAAAACTTCATGCTCCCATGATTTAATGTGGAGTTCACTCACAATATCTAGAATAAACTGGTGTACCTACGCCTACATAGATACACACAGACACCAAATAATGGTGTTGAAAATGAAGTTCCATTTATGTATATATATTCCAGAATCATATCCAGATCAAACATACCATTATTCAAGACATATGAGAGCATTGCTTGATGTCATCCTCATAGAACTCGGAGTACAATTAGATGACTTGAACTACTAACCATTACATCTACTTCTAGATGAAAATTTTGGTTAACACACATAATAGGGACCATCGACAACCCAATGGATCAATCAGCCCATTGAGAATGACATTTAATGTTAATGTTACAACAGTTATTATACAACAACAGGGAGCAAAAAGACAGACAGACATCCAACCATGAAGCAATGCACTTATTATGGCAACAGGGAATTGGGGGCCACGTCTTTCTCTTAGGTGGATTTCAAACCCCTCTCATAGTTCATCCTGCGAGGACAGAGAACAAAAGATTAGCCCAGATGTGTTAACCAAAGGCAAACAAGTTTTTTTAACCCTAAAAAATGCTTAAGAAAGTAAAAGCCTATAGGAAATGTGGACACCAAAGATTGCTTTTGGTAACATTGCTAGTTTCACTTTTCCGGACGCACAGATAGATAGCATGGCTTTTTTTAAATAAAAAAAAATCAGGAAAAAATCTCATGAAAACATGACATGTTTAGTAAGACATTTACACATTCACTGTCTTTCTTTTAAGGGTTATTACTGGGTGAGGTGGTTAAAGTGTCGGTAAACAGCCGAGAACAGTCACTTTGCGCAAAAACCTTGGGGAACAAACTGTCAGCACCCTCAACTAATAGGGATCAAACTGTGTAATGACTGTCTTTCTTTCAGGTTTGAGGCCCTTCTGAAATCATATAACCAATGTAAAATGGGAGTAAGAATCTTGGCTCTTATTTGGTAGTTTCTAGGCTACACCTATTAATGCCTTTCATTCCCCTAGGACGGCGTGATTTTTCATATGGTAAAAAAGGTTTATTCATATGGGTTTTGAAAAAGAAAGCAGCACCATACTCCAAACATGCGTCAAAACAGTAACCAAATGGTAAGGTTCTCAGCTTCAAGCTTTGAAAAAAGGTTGCACCTTTGCGTTCCAACTAATTCAGAGATAATCGGTGTGAAAGATATTCTAGTTGCTTATTTTTTCCCTTACTTTTGTTTCCAGATAGGTAAACGTCCACATTGTAGAAATTATTCCAGAACAAAGTTAGTCAAATGCCAGCATTAAGGTTCTATTTTAACGCATTTCTACGAAGATCGTTCTCATGAAGTTAGTTCATAAATTAAAGACAAGATGATGACAAACAAAGCTGCAGGTTCTTTATTTTCTTAGAGCATCGTCTGAGCTTCTTAATTACCACTGTTGTTGGCCTGTTACATTAATCACACACACACACACAGATCAAGAGGAGAAATGCTTACATGGTAATCATCCAAGTACTCATGAGGATCGTACTGCAAGACAAATGATTCGAGTCAGACTAATTGTAGTATTTTTTAAACAATAAATCACTGTCATCACCATATTTTTCATAAACATAGGTTGAAAACTAAGCATTCATGGAGAACATTACAGTGTATGCGATTGGACTTCCCCAAAGACCATCTGTCTCATTGAATACAAGAGTGCAACAAATGAAGAGGACCACCAGAAACAATAACAATAGCTCCAGTCCCTCTAGCACCCCCAATAACAACTAGCTTAAAAAGAGCAAAGGAAGCCTATGTGTTGTTTTTATTATTATTATTCTCCCATTTGCCTTGCATTCCATAAGGAACAATTTTTGTTGAAAATTTTAACTTGTTCTCATCAAGGGAAGCATACTCTATGGATCACATATGGTGACAAAATCGGTGTATCACTACAGACTAAAGGTCAAGGGTACTTGAATAATTTCTTATGTTTAAGCCCAAAATGGACATAAATATTCAGCATCTCTGTTATGACTTGTAATGATTCAACTTTATCTTCAAAGATGCAATTGATTCTTCATTCAAAACAAACAAAACGATGCAACCTAATTAATTCAATATCCTAGAGCTAGTAGGGGTCCTCCTGGGGAATTGAGGATCCAAAAGAGGGAGGCAGACTCACAATAAAATATTAAATGATTGGAACATTCTCAGCTTGTTTGACTCATTAACACATGAGATAGCCCTTAACAGAAGATCCGAAGTTTTGAATGCTCAAAGTAGGAAATAGAAGAAATTAAACCATTTTCGCAGTGTGTGCTCTGGGGAAAAGAAAGGAAGAAAAGAGAGAGGAAGAAGAAAGGGCAAAAGAGAGAGACAGAGAGAAAAAAGGGGGAAAAAATAGTATTGCGTGCACTAATCTTGATAAAGTTGCCAATTATCAGATGTGTAATTGCCTTAGAACTAAAACCTTCTTTCCCCTTCGAGCCAAATAAATTAATGCCAGAGCCAATACCCCCAAGATCACTTTGAATCAGCAGAAATATGAAGCCAAGAAACCTGACATTATCAATCCAATCAACCAGGCAAGCTCATGCTGAATTTCATCAAATATATCACAAGAGAACAGAAGTAAGTTTCGATGACAGCACAAATCAGTTCAATTAGTTGGATAAAAACCAGCAGAAATAACATAGATAGAAAATCCAGATCACTAAGGGAAAAAAAGGGAAGTTATTGGAGCAATACCCTTCGGTGGCGCCTATGACGGTCCCTATCTCTCTTCCTCTTGTCACCTTCATCTTTTGCTCTTTTAGAATCCTATAGCCATTAATCAAATTAATTGGAAAATTTTCAGCAAGAACACCAGAGAGTAACTATATGTTAAACTACAAAATTTCATTAGCAATTGAGCCAGTTGACAATCACCTCCTCTTCTTGAGCTCTTCTCACTTTCTCTGCCTCCTCAAAAGCCTCATTTTCAGCCTGAATTTTACAAATGTTAAAAGATGTAGGGGTTGTGCACTTACCAGTCTAACTCACAAATAACTTGAATGAGTGCTGGCTCACCTCTCTATTCTTCGCCCATATTTCTTGCACGACTTCTTTTGCATATTGTGGGTCATCACAAATCAATATGTTGTCAAACACTGAACCAGCTTTTACCTGTAATACAATGACTTATTAAGCTTTTTCATTCTAGATGCATATTAAAGTATCTAAGGTTCACTAACATGTCGTAATCAATTTAAGTCAGAAAGGAGCCAAGTCAATAAGAACTCCATCAGCAAAAAGAAGAAAAAGGAAAAAAAAAATATTCTAGATCATCGGCAAATTAAAATATATATGGAAGTGCTCAAATTGACCAATTTAGGGAGATGAAGCACAGAATATGAGTAACTTAAGTAGCTGGACCAACATCAAGCGGTACAATCTTTTTTCAATTACTGAAATCTCAGATTCTGATTGTATAAGCAAACTTGAAATCAGGCACTGCAACATTGTTGGCCTGAGTGGGGCAAACAACTATGCTTGATGCATTATTGAGGCTTCTCAAAAGGAGCTTCATACAATTGAATGTGGATAGAAAAATATTACCTGCCAAACTTCAATGCCAATGTATTTTATGGGCTTCAATACATAGAGGTCAGGGTCATCTTCAAATTCTGCAGAACAAAAAAAAGGTTGAATATTTTAACCCATACCCAGAGACTAAACAGAATAGGCACAGGTTCAGAGGTGAAACGGTGGAACCATCCGATAAAATGGTCTGGGAAGTCAAATGTTGAACCATTAAAAAAGAAAAATAATATTATAGTTGTTTTACTTGAAAATAATACGATTTTAACAAGTAAAAACCAAAAAAACACAATAATTTATGTAATACATATAAATTAAACAACAGTGACTAGACAAAAAGATATATATATTTTTTTAATCAAGTTTTATCATTTATGCCACCACAGTCCTTCCTAAACTCAGAGCTCTACAATAGAAAATCGCCAAATGCCCTAGGTTTGGCTGGCAAGTGTTGTCAAAACCTTTTCTTTTGTTTTTCAAAAAATCAGAACATTCATACATTAAATAGTTACAGCTGCTGAACCAGAAAGCAATCTAGTTGGGGTAGGGACAACTGCAGTGTGGGTTTGGTTAATTTGATGAGTTGGGCTGAAAATGATAACCTCCTACCACTTAGACTCTCATAGACCAGGTTGTACCTGGTTAACCATCTATTTTGCTAATATGTACCTGGGTTATCAATCCATGGAATCTTCCACTTCCCTTTATAGTTGGGGTTCTTGATTTTCTGTATCCACATATCTAGAAGTTAGAATCTGGATTGAAAATAGGATAAAAAGAGATGTCAACTTTATATTTGTAGCTTGAATACACCTTGGGCTTCCATGGTCCTTTATATGCTGGATTTGGGATCTTTGCTGATCTCCATATACCATCCTCTTCTTCGTCCCAGTCAGCGGGCTAGGCCCAAAAAAGAAAAAAAAAAAAAAAGGTCGTGGAATGTGAAAACAAATTTTCTTTACTAAGCCGCTCATAAGATGATAAACCGATAATAACAAAAGAAGAAAAACTGTGCAGGTGTTATCAATAGTGCACATGTGCAATGAAGATTTCCCCACTCAACATGTGATAATGGAGAGCATTCTGTTCATGGCGCTATGTAGAAAAAGAACAGAATGGAATGTATCATACAAGTCAACATAATGCATTTGTGTTACTTCCCAAGAAGTAACACTGTAAGACGGTAAGAACATGCCACAAGACCAAAGAATTAACAAGGTGAAGAAAAAACATTGGTATCTTATTTTTTTTACAAAGAAGGAATATTAATCTAGAAACCTTTTTAGCCTTTGGATCAGGTATCTCAGCTGGAATTGAATCATATCCCTGCAGCATCGAAACAGGTCATAATATTGTGAAGCTTTTTGCCAAATTTACAGCACCAGTTCAATCATGAAGTAGAGACTGGAGAGTACAAGACCTCTGGTTTGACAGCTTTGGGATCATCTATATATTCTCTTTCTTCCCAATCTTTTGGCTGCAGAAGAAACAAGGTCCACACTTTCTTTCAGAGAAAAGACAGGTTGAATTTATAGAAATTTGTGACAAAAACAAAAAGAAAAGAATTTATAGACATTTACTACATAGAATAGAGTTTATGTATTATTACTTTGCCTATTTATGGGAACTATATGTGCAGATAGCCATCAGACTGATAAACAGACTATAATGTAGGTCTTTAAATAGTCTTCCTAGAATGCTTCCAAATTTCAACTTCTGAGGTGACATTGTGATACCTTTTTTGCTTTTAAATCTTTAATTTTCCGCGGAGGGAGGATATCCCAGTCAGTATACATGCTCCCAACCTCTCTTTCCCGGTTATCAACAAGCACACTATATGTTGCATCAGGCCTCAAAATAAATGTGTAGAAATGCGTTAACTTGTCTGTTTCACATTGTAGATCCTTCTTGATGGGATAATTTTGCCCTTGGTAGGAAAGTATAACATGGAGCTTTTTTGTCTGTGTGCCACATATATCTGGTCCAAACATCAAACTGCATGAAGGACAGTGTTCAATGAGAGGTGTTATTCACCATTACAAAAGGAAAAAGACACAAATGGGGCAAGAAATCTAACAAACAAAATGGCCAAAACACACAAGACTGTGTGAGCAGAAGCAACTAGAGACTCAGGAAATGAAATTTAAGATCACCAAAAAATACCCAAAAATAACTTGATAGAAAAAGCAAGAAGCACGCATAGGTCCATGCAGCAACTTGATTTGAGTGGCAATTCATAAATGGTTGCATGTAGCTGAAGCATCTTAGCAACAGTTTCCCAACCAGTAATCTCTATGCAGTGAGTTGCTACATTTACTCTTCTAATCTGGGCAGCCATGCACTACAACATCCCTTCTTGGCTAATACCATTAAAGGAACACTGTCTTAGGTGACTGTATCCATCATAATAGAGCATTCAACCTCCCCTATTTTCCTATTCCAAAGCACAATGTCAAATTCCAGCACAAGCCTACAGTGACTGAAACCAATTGTCTAGTCCCCCAATTTTAATACAGTAGTTCAATTATGGAGACTGCACTAACTCCATGTTCGAGTAAGTCGCTGCTCTTCAGTGTGCATAGCAGCGATCTGGTACTAAATTCCCTACGCTTAATCACTAATGTAACAGTTCCTGTTTTGTCGCATTTGCTCCATCCTCTAGGTCATTGACTTAAGGGTGTCCGCTCATATGAAAGTTCAGTCATATTAATGATCAAATTTTGACTCTCTTCAGAGTCCTTGGTTCCTTCATTGAAATATGTTTTGACTTTAGATTGTGAGGCTAGTCATTTGATCAAGCATCACCTAGTGAGCCAGTCATTTGGGCAAGCAGCACGGCATGTCATTTCGTACTCATGTCAATAATTATCGAGAAACCGCATCCGAGTTGGTTCAAATTAGTGTCAGACTCTCCATTAATAACTAGCCGTTTTGATTTTTTAAAACAACTTGATGAATTTAGTAGATTGTTTTAGGAGGCCCAATTACCATAGATCAAACCTATCCAATTTTTACAATGTGATGGTTGGTTGTTCATGGCCCTAATTGTACCTACTACTATTACTTTTTTGGAATCAATATTAAAAATACTGTTCATCCAAAGACGCACCTAATTCAAATTATAGAACTATGACACAATCAAACCTGAACGTACAAAATAATGAATTGAATCATACTAGCCTCTACCGAGGATTACTACTCATTTTTGTACTTGTTTTATTTTTCAACTATCTCTTCAATTTAAGAAAATGAAATAGAATAAAAATTCTAGGCATTTTCTTAGCTGCTTCGGAAGGATCTCATCTCATAATTATCATCACTATTCATGCTCTAGCATGACCACTGTCATGCTAGATGAAATGTGGAGGGAATTGGGGTAGCTGATATGATTGGAGGATTCCTCTTTGGATAATAGGTACGGTAACGGGGATTCATGTAATCGGTTTAATAGGTATTTTCATTTATAATTCATATTCTGAATTGGGTTCATCCCTGTAGTAATAGGAAGAATTAAGTAGTAGATATGAAAGCATAAGATCTCAACATGATCCCTTTCTCTCTTTGTCTGATTTGAGGGGGGAAGATCACATTGAATTCTTAACTTAAGAGTCAATTTTTTTGTCCGCCTAAATGACACAAGAACTTTCTTTTTCTGCTATGTCAAATAATACCATTCCATTTTTTTTTTGTTGCTGGTTTTGAAAATTGAACTTCATTGATCGATTCAAAACATATGGTCCTCGATACGTGATATTTGTTGTTTGTCTAAACTTCATTTCATAATAAGATCCAAGTGCAACATTTCGGAGCAAGTTTACAAGAGAGTATACAACAACTTTGGGAGAACAGAAAGTACAACCGCTAATGTAGAGCAATCCGACAATTCTCTGATAAAGTCAATATCTCTAAGCAAGGAAACAAAATTCATGGATTTTTTACTGGAGTCCTTTTGCTCTTTATTTGTTACTCATCTTGAAAGTCATCAACTTAATAAGTAACTGTCACATATATCATAAATATATCTATGTACACTACATTAACTGCTTGTTGACTTTCGATTTGCTTAATTTGTACTAAACTAGGGAAATAGTCTATAGAATATTCCAACTAAAATTAATTCAAAGAACTTAGGGTTTATGGTTTTAGAGTTAGGTTTTAGGGCACCTAAATAGTATCATGGCATTCAACAATAAAAAATTATTGAAAGTGGGCTGTTTTTTTTGGTGAAAAGAATAGGAGAAGCACCTCACCACACTTCAAATACAACAATGCTGCACTTACCAAAACTTGCACCAAATTTTTTGCACCAAGCCAATATGGATGATTAGATTGGTGGGTCTTATTGACTCCAACTAATCATTCAATGATCATTTGGTAAAAAAATTGTGAAAATTGAAAAATAGTATAATCTCTCAAACTTTTAAGGCAATAGGTACAGACACAAGTTCTTTAAGACTTCAAGGACACATTTCCTTAAATATCAGGCATTTGGTCCGAGGTTGTTATTTGTGACATATGACATAAATACCCTATTCTACAATATTTCCACCACCTCATTCATTAACTTTCTCTACATATTGTCTTTATAGCCATAACCATCAGGATCTTCCCCTCGACATTGCTTAAGAAAAAGAAGAAACCCTACCTAACCAAAACCAGGGGTATCCAGTCAAAGCCCCAGTGTTGTGGCTCTCCCTTCTGATCGAGACATATATAGAGACAATCTGTACCCATATACAAGTGTACACATAGAGAGAAACTAAACATAAAAAGTAGAGAGAATCAAAAAACTATGTGAGCACCTTTCCTCGTCATGGCATTATTGTTGCCTAGTAGATCTTGAAACCCAAGTCCTTCCCCACGGAAAAATAACATTATTGCCTCTAAGAATCACTCATCATTCGTACTTCATTTTCAAGAATATAGTTGGATGTCAAAGAGACCACTGATTTGATTCAATTTTTTCATGCATTTTGAGTAATTTTCGAAGAAGCGTTTTGAGTTTCTATTCAGTGGTTCAGATCGATTCTTGCTGGTTTCTATTTGGTGGTTCGAATCAATTCCTATTGGATCCAATGCAGTTTTTTGGCATTTGGTGTTGTAGGTTGGTTGAGATTCAAAGGAGTGCTTGAGTTTGTTAAGAGCTCTAAGTATTCAACAGAATGACGAAACAATGGTTTCCTTCAATGAAATCACGTTATTTCAATGTCCAAGGCAGTGAAATTGGTGTTTTTCACTGTCACAAAAAATAAAATATAGACAGCAAAATATGGACAGTAAAATGGAGACTTAATCTAATCAATTTTTTTGTTTAAACATAATTGATTCTTTATGTAAATTAATCCCATTAATTAAGTTTTTAAATCTAATAATCTCTCTTAATTAAGCATAATTTATTCTTGATTCTAATCAAAATTCTTAATTGAATTACTTTCTTTGTGGTGGTTTGGATAGTGAAATTGACAGTAAAATATGGACAGTCAAATTAAGACTCAATCATCTTAATTTTGAAATCGTCGATCTACAGATTTTTGGTTCAGATTCTTCCTGAATATTTCCAAATGACTTTTGATAGTTTCCTATTTTTTTTGGAGATTAAATTTGGTAATCTGCAGAAATTTCGGTGAGAGTAGGACAATTACAAATGATCGATACATTGAAGCCTCCCGCTTGTTTTTAAGGCAAATTGGTATTTATGACTGGACTTGTCCTTTACAACCCAAAAAGTATCTACTTGGACTTCTTGACTCAAAAGTCAACTATAAAACAATTTACGTGAGTTTTGGTACATACATCTCTTTTCCTTCTAATACATATTTACCAGAGAAGTAAGTCCATTGGCCGGCTGCTTACTCTCTCTCATCTCACTAGTTTCCTCTCTCTTTCAGTTTGAACAGGCTGAGTTGACTAGCTTCCCCCCACATCTAGTGATGGGTTGATTGGATGTGGTATTGCGGCATACCTTCTAAAATGTTAAATCAGATTTTCCTGCTGACAGAAGTCCTCTTAGTGGGAGCAGTTCCCCACTGTTTATGATAGGCTGAGCAGTTATCATATGGAAATTTAGATTATAACATAATTATATACAAAACATTACAGTTTGTTCAAGTTTGTGATTAGCAGCCCATATGGTAACCTTGTCAAGGCTACCAGGAGATATCTGCTCCCATATTCCTCAAGATTATCCCATCTCTGATCCTTCAATTTTCCTTCCATAAAACACAAGAAGTGATATTATTTATATAAGTTGAGATTTAATACTCTCAGCTGCAAAAAGGAAGACCCTATGGACAAGGCATGCTACTAGGTCCACCAAACTATCCTACTGCCCTAATATTAATTATAATGAAATTTAAGCATGTAATCATTTTCCCTTCATAGATATTAAACATTATACCCATGCATAAACATAAGAGGAACTGTTAAGTGATGACTACAGCAAAGGATTTGAATATCAAATCCCTACAATTAAGGGATTTGATATTCTCCAGAATACTGCCACTATAATGTAGCAATAAGTTTCCTACAAGCTTGTTATATTGATTTATTCTTTCATTCTATACCGGTTTCCAGAATGATCTATTCATTCTTTATATTCTATGTACATATCAATTGATATATACAGAACAGAGAATCCTTTTTATTCTTTCATGGTATCAGAGCCCTATTCTGCTTCCACCACCTCTTGTAGACTTTCAATTTCATTAGGCTACCTCTAGTTTTGGTTGGACATCTCCATCTGTGCACTGTTGCACCAAGCAGCCACTAGGAAGTCTTTTGCCACCTAACAATCAACGTTTCAAGCAATCAAGAAGCTTGAAACTACTGTCAATTACTACAAAATCCCTCCTCCCCTATAAACTAGCACTATGACTTCTAGCGACACATTGTCAACAACATCACCTTCCCCTTTATTGAGTTCATCCCCTCTGTGCCTTCCTTGGGAAGTATAATTAATTATATTTCCATTAAATTGGATGAAACCAACTACCTCTTGTGGCGCAGTCAATTCATCCCCATTTTGGTGGCTAATGATCTCTATGGTTATGTGGATGGAACCATTATTCCTCCATCAGCTATCCTTGAATCTACAGAAGGAACTAGAGTTTCTAATCCAGAATTTATATCATGGCGTAAGATGGATCAGTTTGTTCTAGGCTACATCAATACAACCCTCACTCAAGGCATTTAGCCCAAGTCAGTTGGGCTCTGTACTGCAATAGTCTCCATTCCATGATTCATGAACAGAACCAAGCACGTTTTGATCTACTCCAAAATGTTCAATCACTCGAAAAAGGTACGGGGTCAATTTCAGATTACCTAAACTGGATCAAGCATCTCGCGGACTCGTTGGCTGTCATAGACAATTCGGTTCCTGATAAGGAACTTGTAAGTCATACTCTCAACGGCCTAGGCAAGGAATATGACTCCTTCATCGTGATGATGGAAAACCAGCAGCCACCACCCACCTTTGCTGAACTCAGATCATGCCTATTCAATCATGAACAACTCTTGAAGCGCTCATCTCGCTCTATGCAAACTACTCCATCCATGGGTGATACAACTCTTGTTACTACTTATGTAGCACATCGACATCAAAATTCCCGAGGTTGTGGACGTGGTGAATATTGAGGGCGTGGTGAATCTTCAGCTGGTCCTGGACAAGGGTATGTTCAGTTTTCTAATTCTAATTTCATAACTGTGGCCGTGGTCAATTTTCAGGGCAATCGATATATGGGCAAATGTCAAATTTGTCGTGAACAAGGGCATAGTGCTTTTAAATGCCGTTTTCGATTTGATCAAGCTTATAATTCAAGACAAGTGCAGCAGTCCTTTGCTGCCATGAACATCAACAATTCAAGCCCTTTTTCAACTGTGCAGTCCCAATATGGTCCATCTCAATTTGTTCCATTCTGATACCCAGATACGGGTGCAACTAGACATATGACTGGAGACATAGCTCTTCTCCAACAACTAGCGGACTATTTTGACTCAGATTCAGTCATGGTTGGAAATGGTGGAGGCCTTCCCATTTCTCATACTGTTAACTATTAGAATAGTTATTATATTTAGACTTAGCGGTAGTTTAGTCATTTGTTTTCTTTTATGTTGCCCTAGCTTAGTTTACTATATAAAGACCTCTTATAAGTAGTTTTCTCTTAAGCTTTGTTCTAGCTAATTGTGCCTCAATAATATTCTCTTATTTCCTTCTCTTACTTTTCTGTGATTGATCAAAATTAACATGATATCAAAGCATGGTTTCGATCCAAAATATATTGTAGTACCACAGTAATTTAGTTGGAGAAAGAATAAATTCTTGGATTAGGATTGACATCATCTATGATGATTTATTCTTGGATTAGGGTTGCTGATTTATTTTTGTGGTTCTAAGGGCTGTGAACAGTGCAGAAGTTATTGTTCACGCCTGTGAATAGTGCAAAAGTTCCAGATTTCGATTTTTAGTGCCTTTTTGGTGTTTTACTACTGTCTTGCTATTTTGCTGCCTCTGTTTGTCTTCTGGACTTTTGAAAGTTATGAAATTTAAGTTGTCTAGTTGCTAGATTGCTGGTTTGATTTATTAGCTCGAGATACTTGTATTAAGGCTATTGAGCGTCTGCTTCTTCGTTGGTTTCTGGTTTGTGAAGTTGGTACGTTGGGATCTGCTGTTTGGATTACTATTTTTGTTGACTTGCTGCTGCCTCTTCTCTTCTGCTAGTGCTTCTTCTGGTTGCTAGTCTGGTTGTTTCTTCTTTGTTTGCTGCTGTTGCTTTGGGCTTTTGGACTGGTTTGTTGATTGGTTGATTTTGTGCATTGGTGAGTTGTCACGTTGCTGGTTTTTGATTTGTTCGTTTGAGCTTGTTATTTGACATAGTGTGGCAGTGGTTTGCACTGAATAAGCAAGAATCTTTTGTTTCCATTTGCATTATTTTGCATTGAATAAGTAGAAAATTTTTGTTTTCATTTGCATTGTTTCGCACTGAATAAGCAAGAAACTTTTGCTTCCACTTTTGATTGGTGGGTTTGAGCCTTTGAGGCTGATTTTGTGAACGAACTGCTGGGTGAGTATTTGATTTACAAAGTTGTTAAGTTGATTTGTGGCAAACTTTGGATTGTTTGGTGTTCGTTACTTCTTTTGGTTCTAGTTTTTGATTTTAACTACTGCTGATTTGGGATTAGTTCTGATTTGTTTGTTTTTTTTTTCCTTTGTTGGGATTTGTTTTGTTGAGCATTGTTGCTGGTGGTTTTTTGTTGAGCTTTGATTTTCTGTTAGATCTCTCATTGTTATTTGATCATCTCTGAAACTTCGTGCTTACTCTGATGCGGATTGGATTGGTGACTCTATGGATTGCAAGTCCACTATTGGTTTCTGTCTCTTCATTGGTGATTGTTTTATTTCGTAGAAAAATAAGAAACAAACTGTTGTGGTTCGATCATCTGCTGAAGTTGAGTATCATGCTATAGCCTTCATAACAAGAGAGATAGTTTGATTGTATTGACTACTTGCTGATCGTTTTTTTACGAAATCTCACACCATCGCACGCTTCCGTTTTCTTCTTAGCAAACTCTTGATGTTTAATGTTACCACATCATGAGTTTGAGGGAGGGTGTTAGAATAGTTATTATATTTAGACTTAAGGGTAGTTTAGTCATTTATTTTCTTTTATGTTGTCATAGCTTAGTTTACTATATAAAGACCTCTTATAAGTAGTTTTCTTTTAAGCTTTGTTCTGGCTAATTGTGCCTCAATAATATTCTCTTCTTTCTTCCTCTTATTTTTCTTTGATTGATCAAAGTTAACAGTAACATCTATTTTCACAACTTTGCTTCTAAGTTTTAACTTTGAGATGTGTTGTGTTCGTGCTATTAGGAAGAATTTACTATCTATGGCAAAATTTACTAAGGAGAATAATTGTTCATTTCATTTCTTCCCGTGATATTATTGTGTTAAGGATCTAGAGACTGGAAAATTTCTTCTCACAGGGCTAGTCAAGGATAATCTTTACCCCCTCCATCTCTCAACTTGAAGTCTCTATAATAAGGGCAGTCTCTCTTTCAAGGAATTGGCATTCATCAGTGCTGAAGCTACTTCTGAAGTATGGCATAATCACTTAGGATACCCAGGCTTGCAGACTATTGTTTCCCTTTCTTCAAATAAATGCCTAGACATTTCTGGTGCTTTAAATAAAAACTTTGTTTGTTCAGCTTGTCAATTGGGAAAGAGTAAGAAATTGCCTTTTGATTTATCAATGCACCATTCTCCGCATCCTTTATTCCTCCTAATCCACTACAACAACTTCTCATGACTTGGCTAAGAATGACCTAGTTGCCATCTCTCTGCCAATTGATAACTCTGTTATGCTTGCGACATCTTCTATACAGACTGCTCCACTTGTTTCCTCTCACCCAATGGTCACACGACTTAAAGATGGTATTGTTAAAACTAAACACTGTTCGTACATGTCCATCAAACATCCTCTCCCAGTAGTTTTGATTGCTTCATTACCATCTTCTAATCGTACTAAACCGTCTACGTACCGCGAGGCATCTAAAGATCCAAAATAGTATGTTGCCATGCAAGATGAATTTAATGCTCTTATCGCTAATGGCACATGGTCTCTTGTTCTTCGTCATAGCTCTATGAACATAGTGGACTCCAAATAAGTTTATAAAATCAAAGAGAAATCTGATGGATCTATAGAACGATACAAGGCACATATAGTTGGCAAAAGCTATAATCAACAAGAAGGCATTGACTTCACAGAAACTTTCGGTCCAGTGGTGAAACCTGCTACTGTTCGCACTGTTCTCTCCCGGCTCTCTCTCGTGCTTGGTCTATTCGACAACTAGATGTAAAGAATGATTTTCTCTATGGCATGCTCTCTAAGGAAGTTTATAAGGAGCAGCCACCTGGTTTCCATGATTCTTCTCATCTGACACATGTTTGTCGTCTTCACAAGGCTAATTATGGCCTTAAGCAAGCTCCATGTACTTTGTTTCAATGTTTTAGTGAATTTCTTTGTCAATATAGATTTGTTTGTAGTCGTGTAGATTCCTCCATGCACTATGGTTCTTCTTCTATATGTTGATGATATCATCTTAAATGACAATTCTTCCTCAATTCTTCAGTCCTTCATTGGGACTCTTAGTTCTCAATTTGCAATGAAAGATCTAGAGGACCTTCATTATTTCTTGGGAATTGAAGTTAAACATACTTCTGCAAGTCGTCATCTCTCGCAATCTAAGTATGCACTTTCCACATTATCACGTGCCAACATGCCAGAGGCCAAACCCTGCCCTACTCCTGTCACATCTACATCAAATCTTTCTTTATTCGAAGGTGATCCCTTGTCAGATCCCTCATTTTATCGTCAAATTATGGGTGCTCTTCAGTATCTTACCATGACCCGCCCTGATATTACTTATGCTATTAATCAATTGTGTCAATTTATGCATTTTCCTACCACGGTACATCTGACTGCTGTGAAACGCATTCTTTGCTATATTAAGGGCACAATTGATTTGGGTCTTCATTTCCACTCTCATTCTTCTCTTACAATTCATGCTTATTCAAATGCCTATTGGGCTGGATGTCCTGATTTTCGTAGATCCACTACTGGGTTCTGCATCTTTCTTGGTTCTAATATTGTGTCTTGGTCTTGTAAGAAATAACCCACCATTGCTAAATCTAGTGCTGAAACTAAATATCATGCTCTTTCTTGTGCCATTGTTGAAATTGTTTGGCTTCGATACCTCCTTCGTTAACTGCATGTTTCTCTTGACACGCCTAGTTATCTCCATTGTGATAATGTGAGTGCCACTTACATTGTTGTCAACCCAATCTTTCATGCGCGCATAAAACATATTGAAATTGACTACCACTTTGTTCGAGAGCTAGTTGCCAATGGCACTCTTCGGGTGCAATTCGTTCGTACGGATTATCAAACAACCGACATCTTCACAAAGGTTCTCACCATTTCTCGTGTTCTCACTCTATGTGACAAACTAATGTTGCGTCCCCTATACATCAGTTTGCGGGAGACGGTTAAGTGATGACTACAGCAAGGAATTTGAATATCAAATCCCTACAATTAAGGGATTTGATATTCTCCAGAATTCTTAGAATTCTCCAGAATATAGCCAGTATAATGTAGCAATAAGTTTCCTACAATCTTGTTATATTAATTTATTCTTTCCTTGTATACCAGTTTCCAGAATGATCTATTCATTCTATATATTCTATGCAAATATCAATTGATAAATAATACAGAACAGAAAATCCTTTTATTCTTTCAAGAATAGAGTTCTAATGTTTAACATGAAGTCTATGGCCTTAATATAAGGCATTGCAAGATATGTAGTCAAGTCAATGACATATGAGCATAACAATCCATGATTTGTGTAAAACATTCTAGACAAAAAATGACAAACCTGTAAGGGGTATCACCACCAAACTTCTTCTGATTGACATAACCAGAATGAAGTTTAATGTAAGCACCACCACATTCAATGTCCTGCTCAATCTTTACGGAATATTGGACAACAAGAGTTCTGTTCTTGTTGCTGAACTCAGGTATCTTTGCCGAAATTGCGTAATGCTTGGCATCATTGTATGTCTGAATTCCTGCATAAATTCTGGGTATCAGTGAAAGCTTCTGTAATCGCTAAGCAATAGTAGGCAGATAACTACATAAAATGGAGGTATATAAGAATTCCAACTTTCCAAATTCTTTCGACCTTTTAAGCGCCTTGCACCCTCAAAAATACAAACCAAATGTCATAGACGCTGCTATATGCATTTGTCACTAATTCTTCATAAGTCCAGAGATACCCTTTATTACCTGTGTGCATCCTTCATTTTTTTCATTTCACTTGACTTCTCATTCCTCCTATTCTCCGATAAGATATTTATCAAACAACAGAAAATAAAGTTTTTGAAACCCTTTTGAAGTGTGTGCAACATTGAATACCAATGTCGGCACGGAGTTACTCAAATTGTCAAATTGAACTAATGGGATGTCATCATAAAGCTTGAACTTGAAATTTGGCATGTCTAGCACTAGAGAGATATTCAAATTATTAAATTTGATTCGATGTTTATGTGTCACCCCCACTTAAAGAAAATCCATCGTGGAACTGGCGACCCTCAAGGAACTGAATCAGACCTAGAGTAGAGGCTAGGAGAGATTAGACAAAGTTTATGGTCTCTTCTGGATCCTAAACGACGATAAATAGACAATTGTATGTTGCAAACCCTTCTTATCTTCTAAGGCATAATATGTAAGACCATTAGCCCTAGAAACAACTAGCCTGTAGAATATCATATAGTCCTCTATTTTATATTTTAATTCTTTATTTGGTCATCTGATGAAGTCTATTTGTTTTTTTTTTTTTCCTTTTGCTTCTAAGAAATGGAGGTTCTAGTTATAAAGCTAAAATGTTGTGGTTAATCTTAATGCACACAATTTGACTGTGATTTATTATAAGGGTTTACAAACAATAATTATTAAGTACTGTATGCATATTCCACACACAACAAATATACTAGTAGACCATACACGGATATGAAATCTTAATTCTTACAACTATCATATAAGATCGGTCATATATGATAATCTTGTCAGGTAATATGTGAATCTCTAGTATCATAAACAATTACCCATATGATCAAGTTTGACCAATCAAACTACATAATCAATCCAGAAAAATTTATACATTATCAATCAAATTGAACCAAACTACAAATATCACAGTCGTCCACTGATTCTCTAATAACTCTTTGTTTTTTGATTTTGTTTTTCATTAAGAAAAAATCAACAAAAGGAGACTACAAAAGATTACCTTTATCATCAGGATCAGCAGACCATTTTCCGGCAGTGTGCTTGAAAGTTCCCGCTTTCCCTTCGCTTCTCTTCCAATCCGATAACACCCATCTGTTCATCCACCCATCTGAATTTTTCCCACAACCATAATTAAAAAATATAATAAAAAGAAAAATCAGTGGGAACCCAACAAAACAGCAACAAATATCTCCACCATAGCTGTTATATAAACACACACAAACACATAGGGTGTATGGTAAAAACATAAATGGAAAGAACAGTATTCAGCTAAGTATCAGTAAAAACAAACGTAAAGAAATCAAATTTTACAAGAAATTGGGACTATTGTAAATATTAGAGAATTTTCACCTTCGAATCGTTCTTCGAAGAAAATTTCGGAATGCACATAAACTAAGAGAAAGGTTGAATGTAAAGCTAGGACTGAAAGCAGAAGATTAAGCACTCCCATCAGCTTCGGAAATGAATCCGCCAATCTGATGAGAGAGAGATATAGAGAGTGATCAGCTACTAAGGGAGAGAGAGAGAGAGTTGTGGAGATGGTATTGGATTCAAGTCAACGCACCGGTATTTGGTTCGAATTGAGTCTTCCGAAGTTCGGACCCGACTAGTGATTTTATTTTTTTAATCGGAATTCGTTGGAACATTCCAATTGGATTTAGATATAAATATATAATATTTTTAGAGCAATACTACATAGATTTAAAAATTAAACTTAAAAACTAAATTTGATAATCTTAACCATTGATTTTACTGTAGATTTTAGCATTTATTGGAACTCACTACCTATTCAATGGTTGAAATTATCAAGTCTAATTTTTAAGTCTATCTAATATTACTCTAATAATGTAGGGCGGTAATTTTCGAATTGACGACACGTATCAAATTTGACATGAATTTTATGACATGAATTCAATTATAACTCGATACGAACTCGAAAATAATTTAACACACAAATACGAAATATAAACAGATTATGTTCGGGTATAATCCGTCAAAACTCGAAATTGACACGATCAACCTATTTATTTAAAAATTAACACTTACTCTATTTTTCCGTTTGTATGGTAACACGAATAACACGATCAACATATTTAATTAATATTATAGAAATAAAATATTAATTATTTGTAATTGTTTATTAAACATTGACATAATTATTGTATAAAAAAAAATTTTACTCATTATTATTATTATTATTATTAAGTTAATTTTTAGTTTGTAGAAAAAGAATGAGCATGAGTTCAATTAAGTAAAAATAGAATCTTAGCGATAAATTTTTTATTCAAAGTTTATGCGGGTTAACATCAACACAAATACGAACACAAATACGATACGAAAATAAACAAGTTAACTCGACACAATACGATTAATTAAATAAGTTGAGTTAGTGTTGATTAATGTTTGACACGAATCCGACACGACACGATTCGATTGTCACTCCTAATTTTATGTGTCATTTTTTTTAATTTCGTACTATATTTTTTATTTTTTTCTTTTTCTTTTCTTTTTCTTCTCCTTGCAACAACTCTTCTCGAGCCTTGAAATTTGAATGCATATACACAAAAAAAACTATTTGTTTTCATATTAGTCCCTTTTTAAATGTATTTTTTTGAATATTACAATTTGAAATCTGTTTATCAAATTCACGATAAAAAGTTAATTAAAGAAAGTGTTCTAAAAAATCTTTTAAAAAACAGCAATTCAATGAGGACTTGGCTTTTACACTCGAGTCAAGAAGTCTTTCACACGATTCAAGTCTTTCACAGTTGGTCGAGAAGTCTTGACACCATGTAAGTCATTCACTTAGTTTTCTAAGGAATTGATGATACCCACGAAATGACACCACTAGACAGGAAATGACACCACTAGACAACGGCAGTAATTAGATTACGTTCAAATCATAAACAGAGATTATCCGAGGTAAGAAGTTTAGATCGGCCTACAACGATGTCAAGGAGAATCAAGTAGATCACCCTATAGAAACTCCAGAAAGGATTAACGTTTTGAGATTGAGAGAGTTGATGACCTCCCTACGAATGAGCTAACCTCAATAGGAGAACTCACACTAAAGCATACTCAGTAGATGGCAAACTTTGCCAGAGGCGTACAAGATTGTCATCTGTCAAAGGCTAGAAGATTGGTCATCTTGCCACCATAACATGTTCTAGAAGGTCATGTCAATTCTAGAGAATGTAGTCTTTAACAGCTTAGGAAATGCAGACTCATATAACCCAAATATTCTCTCAACAAAATCCTAACCAACTAGGGGACCACTCGATGATGACAACACCATCACTTATAAATACCAAGGTCCCTATTCGTGAGGGGACATGGAAAAAAAAATACTATAATCATCTCTTCTGCTCCAAGAAATATACAAACTCTTTGGGAGCAAAAAACTTAATTAATTAGAGTAGATTAGTCAAACCTCATAGCTGGTGAGCCACTGTACTCCCTAGGTTCTCATTCATTCCCTAGCTTGGTCTCTTTCTTTGTTTTTACTGTAACACTTACTAGAGCCACTAGGCTCCCTCTTGAATTAATCACTTACCTTTACGCACTCACCAAATGGACATCACCCAACCTTGGACTCTTCGGTTCAAGCACCCGACTTATATTCTAAATTTAAACATTATCAGTTGGCACTGTCTGTGGGAAAGATTGGCCATCGTCTTGCTCTGTATTCATTCTTGTCTTTGATTGATTGATGGTAGTAACCAAGAGTATGAGTCAAGTCCCAAAAAATATTCAAAGGATCCCACCTCCTCCGTCGATGAACACCCACGATACCAACCTACATGGGGTTCCTCCTCCTCCCCTATTAAACCCTCAAACGACAGTGTAAAATCTCACATGCTTCTCTTAATATAACAATGTAATTATTTTTGAAATGCTAATATATGTGATAATGTATGCATGAACTATGTGGATTGTAAAAGTAGAAATAAAAATGTTAGTTGAGGTAATAGGGCATGTTGTAGAAGTTTAGAAGTATTTCGGAGTGAAAACGCATTTTAGACAAAATTTGGGTAGAAAAGATTTTGGACACTACCTAGTGTTTGGATCATAACTTTTTATTCTGATATCCATTTGATCTGAAATTTTGACAGTAGACTTTAGACTTCCAGAGCTACAAAAGAGTATTGCACAAAAAGTTTCCAAATTGACCTCTAAATGGGTTAAAACTTCATTGGAAGGTTTAGTAGAAACTGGGATGACGTTCGAACGTAAATCGACGTTCGAACTACAATGAGTCCCAGTACTTTGGTTTCTACAAAGCTCTAATGGAAATGCAAAAGTACTGGAAGCAACCAACATTCGAACGCTAAGTGACGTTCAAACGTGAATCAATAATTTGCACTATTGACGTTCAAACACCAAAGTGACGTTCGAACGTGACTTACGGATTCTGAGTTTTAGAATCGTGCACAGGAGGTCATTTCTCACAGTATAAATACTTAAAGACACCCTCTTTAGCCCCATTTCAACATTCTTAACCCTAGAGAGGCTTCGAAAGAAGGGAAAAAAAGAGATTCAAGGGTTGATTCAAGTTGGGAAAGATCAAATCTTCATATTCTTCACTCAAAACTATGGAAGCAAGGTAGGAGTTTTCTTCCACTCTTGTACATTAAGGCTAGGGTTATATATATGTATGTTTTGCTTCAAGATCCTATGTATATATGCTATGAAATCATTGATTCTTGATGTGCTTACAAACCTTACTATGTTTTGAAAGGATTTATGGTTTGAATACCCTAGAAATTCATGTTCTTGATGTAAAAATTCAACTTTGGAAAAAAAAAAATGGATTTTTCTTCTTGATATCCTCTTGTTCTTGATTCAAAAACTTTAATACTTTGCTTGGAACAATAAAATGGTATTTTTAATGATCTATTGTATATTTTCTTAAATTTTTCTCTTGGAATATTACATGTGAAATTTAGAAATATTTGGATTTTGCTTGTGATTTGAGGTATTGGGTTGTGTTGTATATCTTGTGGATGTTTGTATGACCATGGGTGACCGTTGACCGGATATCGTAGAGTGGGTTAGATATGTTTCTTACTCCGTGTGGGTTTAAAGGTTCCCTATCACTCGTAGTGGGGTTGGTGTCTTGCGAAAACCAAATCACTATTTACTCACGTGTTATCGAGGTTGAGGGTTAGTATACTACTCCTGGGTTGGATCGTCCTTGCCAATGCGTTGGTATACGCCCTTCCCAAAGATTGGATATCCTTGCGAGGATTGAGTGTGTGTGTGTGTGAGTCAGGATATTCTCGATGTGTTTATTCATGCGATGTCATACATCATACCTGAGATACAAGTACAGATACATATACATAATTTTATGGAAGATATAAGTTGTGGTTTGATATACATTGTGGGTTATTGGTAATGTTGTGGAATTGGTTTACTGTTGGAATTGGTTTTACTTCTTCCTTTTATATATATTGAGATTGTGTAAACTTGAGATCGAATGTCACTGTTTTCTTTCAAAGGTTATATATGATATTTGTGAAATGAGATCGACTTGTTTTATATGTTTTCAAAATCTTGTCCAAGTTTGGGAGGATTTTCCTGCAGAGGTTAGTGTTCACCCCCTACAAACAATACTTATTTTCAAAGTTTGGTTTAGAGGAAGAACCCTGAGTTGACGAGCAGGTGATTTGGGAAGCTTAAATTGATGGGCATGTGGACCCAGAGGGGGATGTTTAGAATTGTTCTTTTTATGTTCTAGACTAACAGATTCATTTTGAGATAATGTGAAATCTAATGTTTTTGTTATTTTGCTGCAAGTTAATAGTTAATATTTTTTGGGGATGTAATTGCCATGGTTTTGACATATTTTTTTGGATGATATTGTAAATATTATGAATGATGAATGAAATCTTCTTTACTTATGGATTATATTAGTTGCTCTGAATGGTTTTGGATAGTAATGCCGTCCAATGTGAATTTTGGAGCGTTACAGACAGATTCGCCATGCAGAGAGGAACCGAAAACCTATCAACAAGCCTTTCTCCGTTTTTTTAGACAGAATAAGGAGTTGGTCACTCTCATTCAAACCCAGAATCTCCAAGCTCAAAACCTACAACCATAACAACAAAATCCTCCCCCTCCTCCTCGACAGATTTGAGATCCCCTTAATCCTCAAAATCTCCTACCTCCTCGAAATCCACACAATCCTCGACATCCCATCAGTCCTCTAAATCCTCTTGGTCCTCAAGACTAGATGATCAAAAAAATGGAAAATAATTGAAGTTAGTTTGGGGAAAACCTTAGGCGACAATATTACGGGGAAGATGTAGATGAAGTGTAGAGCAGAAAACCCAAAGGGCAAAGGAGAAATCTACCTCTTCCTGAACAGAGATCCGTAGACAAGTTCTGGGAGCAGTGGTTTAGAAAAATCTAGGATGAGTTGGGGAATGTGACAGAAGTTAAGACCAAGCCCCACTCACCATGGAAGCCTTGATCCAATAGATTGAATCACTATTTACTATTGAGGTTCTACACTTTCCTCTATCTCCAATGTTCAAGGTGCCCCAGATTGAGATGTTCAACAGGACGGAAGACCCTGTGGATCATCTGAATTCATACAAGAATTAGATGAA